GAGAGAGAGAGAGAGGTGCTACAAACCTACAATCATCACTAGTGTAATATGCACTTCAAAATCATACCAAGCAAGTAGAAAGATGAAAATTAATTCGAAATGTAATCCTGACCCTTGATTTCAAGACAATTCATGGTGCCTAAAGGTGTATTCAGTTACAAACACAATTTCTTCAAGCAGCCACTAATGGATACTAAGCTAACAACTCAACAACAGACTGTAAGCAACTTAAAGGACCAGCAGTGCAGATGTTACAATATGGGTCTTTCATCCCCAAAACATTATGCAAGTTTTGAAGTTTACAGATATTTCCATTAAACAAACGGCAAGAATACATTCGACAGTAAATATTTGTTTTTGTACATCAAAACGTTTAAACAGGATGGGAAACCCTCTGGTTTAACCCACACATCTTGCTGAAACTCCATACTTTCCGGGAGGAAAATCTAGAATATGCCTCCACAATGGTGATAGACTACACACATTACATGAAACGGGAGAAAAATAAAAGAACGAAAGAATTTGATTGAAGAACCTCCCAAATCAATCAAAATCCTGATCACAGCTCTGATGAATTTGCCCCCCATTTCTGTATACCACCTCTGTAAATGTTCGGAAACATAGGCTGCTTGTACCAAGGAAGCCTTTGGGCAAGAGGGTCAAGCAGCCACTTGGGAGCATTCAAACTCTCTATCTAAGACTTGATAGTTTCCTGTTTGTATCATATCAACATCCAGCAGCTTTTAAAAAGTTATCGTAAGGGCTTGATGCTGGTAACAGGAAGGAGTGAGGATGATGTTGATACGCACTTGCACACAGCATTGGAACACTAACACCAGATGATTTTTTTGAAATTGCTACTGCCTCCGGATCCAGGAAAGGATTGCCAACCTGCAATATTCAATCAAGTTGCACAATATTAAATTTATTCACAGCAAATGGATAATGGTTTTATTGTTTTAAAAGTGAATACATGTAGGAACTTAGGAGGGTGGGGTGTGTGATATACCTTCAGTAATGTTAACTAGAAGAACTATCAATTAAAATAACAAGAACAAATAAATGTTTATTCACCCAAGGTGTGCTAAAACTTGCTATTGGTTAAAATGTTACAGCTTACAAATTTTGGAAAAGAATCATAGAACATATGTACAATGATCAAAATTTCATTTCAGCATATTGTTTCAGTCACCGAAACGGAAATGTTTCAACGCGTTTTGACTTATTTCAAAAACAGAGTGGAGACGAATAAAAAATTTGAGAACCATTTTTTCAAAACATCAATTGAAATATACCAAAACATCTTGAAATATCTTAAAATATTCTGAAACAATTGTGTAAATGTGTCAAAATATTATGAAACATCTTGAAGGATTAAAATTTTGATTCCATCACAGATTCGTTTCGATCTCCTTACGGAAATATTTTGGCTGTTTCGACCGTTTTGAAACGAAATTTTAATCCTTACATATGTATATATCCAGAATTATAGTATGATGTTCGAAAAAGATCCATTTGGCAAGTGCTCCTTTTGAACTCAAGCAAAAGATAGGCAACATGAAGTACTAATCCTCAAGATGGGTCATGCCAAGGCCTAACTTCAGGACCTCTAGATCTTTTATTAATAGATACATATGCCATGACATTACAAACAAGAAGAGTGCATACGTATAGTTGAATGCATGTGCCAGGCCTCAAGCTTCTATCAAGAGATTGATGTGGCGAGGTAGAACCAAGAGAACTGAATTCAGATATAATATGAATTTATTGAAATATACAAAAACAAGGAAGTACCACTTGGAAACCTCCATCAACACGGGCATAAGAAGCCATCTGCTTGTCCACATCAACACTTTGAGAAGTTCTGCTCAACAAGTTCTCTTGTCCATGCTGCATGACCATCAAGTGGGACATCATCTGGTGCTTTCCTAGTAGAAGTGCCTCACAATGATGGGCCATTTCCTTGTATGACACGTCAGGTGCAGTGCTCACAGAGATTCGCCCAACTTGATGTGCTGTCTCCAAAACCTGTGCACATTGAGCATACCCTTAACTATCGTGCAATAACCAAATACACTTAGATAATGAGATTGATGCATTTCACTTAGATGAGCTTTTTACTATAAATGATATTAGGTTCCTTTCTTTCCCTGCAACAGATAGTAAGATACCATACATAGTTTGACTGCAACTTAAAAGAATAAAAGTGTTTTGTTCAGCAAGCAAGAACCTTATAATAAGATCAATTTATTAAGATTCAATGAAACTATATTGAATATAATCATGATTTAAACAAGTATATTTTTAGGGTAACTAAGCAAACTTCAGCATGAGAAGATATGTAAATGAGACGACAGTAAAGATAGTTTTAGTCTGAGGTAACATCAAATAAAAGAAGTCATGACCAAGATGAAATCTTTTTATAGCATTGACAAGATTTCACTTTAGTGAACCCGATGGGAAGTTGGTGAAACCTGAGCGTAGCTATGTCACATGAAGCAGAGAAACACCCCATGGCAATGAAGAGGACAACTCCAGAATAAGAAACAACAATGACATCATTTTAAAGCAAGAGAGAAGATGGTTTTCAGTTCTCATTTGAAAATAATATACTCAAATATAGGAAAAGATAAACAGGAGATGAGATGATAACTAAGCGTATCTTCTCCAAAGAATTTCTAGCAAATAATAGTACAAAAATTGCAGAACAGCTGCGGGACTTCCAGATATTATATCAGCTCTAATGTATAAAAATAGCCAAGTTGGAAATAAAAAACCCTAGACATATATAAGAGCTGCGCCCGGCCCTGCCATATATTCAATATTTCAGATAAAATGCTTATGTCTTCTGTATCTGTATGGGTTCCATTTGTGATTTTAGCATCCTTCAATCTGTTCTGGACTGCTGTACTTCTATTGTTGGCCCATTGGCAACCTGTTAACATACTGCTGAACATGTGCCGTACCCAACATTGAAAAAAGTTTTGACCCTTCTTCTAATTCAATTAACTGATTAAGCCACCCCCAGAAAGTTAGCTTGCTCGTAGATCACTAGCTTCTATACATTTTCTCAATGAGCCTTATTAACTTGTAGAAAAAAAATCTAGCAAATAGTCAAGTGTCAGGTTGGTGAAGGTTTCAATTATCATATCACCTTTCTAACTTTTAGGCATTTTTGAAAGGAGCTTTTAACAATGATATTCATTTGCTGATATGGGATTGCGTATCATGATTTATGAAAATGGCCGAACACAGGCGTTGTTATCTGACACCAGGAAAAGTGTCTTAGATAACCCCATAGAACAAAATAAAATGCAACAAAGGTGTTGGTGACTGGAAATCAAACATGCAAACATATTACTGTTTCTAATGCAGCAAAAGCTGCCAAAATGAGTTTCCTAGTTACACTGGCAAGGATGCAGTGCTTCAAAGCGGGGGGATGCCCAAAATATTAAAAGTAAAACCACAACATATCAAGCAAACTCAACCAGTTTCTTGAACAAAATTGCATAAAAGTGCAAACAAAATGTTACGTTAAGTTTCTTATTTACTCCAGAAATAAAGTGAAATTAATGTTAGGTTAAGTTGCATAATCTAGGGGGGAATCTTGAGCATATTCTCATCTTTGGCATCCAACTCTTCAAAAGCGCACTATATAATGTCTCAGCAAATATTTATAAATATAAGTCCGCAAATCAGTAAAGAAAACACTAACTAACTAAAAAGAGAACTGCAGAGCCAGTTTTACAATCACATATTTTCCTCAATACAAGCTACCAACAATTGCCCCATCCTTTCAGGATCAGTATCCCCTTACTGATTGAAATGAACAAAATACATAATACCACATGCAAGAGTAACTTACTGATTCTAGAAGTTGATTGACACTCAACAGGTTGGGGATTTCAAAGTCCAACTGTGGATTGTGTTTAGCTTGACTTTCGAACGAATCTGTTAGAGCATCATCATCTATTGCAAAAATTGGGGCAGCCTAAACAATAATCATTAAACTAATTAGTCTCAATAAACTAGTAAATCGCGGAAGCCACAAAATGTAGTAGTTACCTCATCTGGAGATTTACGGTTATTTGAATCAGACTGATATAGTTTTTGGGGAGCATCCATGAATGACTGGGCTCCTTGAGGACACACATCATCAGGTAGAAATTCATTGAGCAACTGCTCCCTTATGGTGGACTGCTCAGACTGCACAAAGAAGAGTCAAGTCATAATGATTTAAACATCAAAAGCACCACTTGGGTTTTAACAATAATACAAAGGTTTACATCTGATAAGGTATCCAAACTCTCCACAACGACAGAAGCTAAGGATTCTAACTTCTGGTCCTCAGTGATTTGTATTTCTGAAAAAAATCTCAGAGCAGTATTATTATCTTCTTTAGATCCATAAACGGTTTTATGATGGCTAGATCCAGAATCAATGGTCTGTAATTTGCAATCTTCAACCAAACACAGAAATGGATCAACCTGACACAAATACAGAACAATATTAAGGAAAATATGATCTAAATTTGACCCAAAGAAAATGTTATATGACAATGATGCACCAAAAGGAAACGAACCAAAAATGATGTCATTGCTATGATATCCAAGAGAAGTTAGTTGCCCCTCAGTAAACATGAAGTCAATGCAGATAAAAGCTTATCAGCAATGAGTCACCTACCGTTTTATCTGTAACTGTAGCCCTGACACATGGAATAAGCCGCAGAATATTATATGCTTTTGATGAAAAAATTATCATAGAAGTTGCCAAGAAAAAAAGGGATCTGCGACGTGATGGTAGCAGTGGCCCTGCAAAAAAAGTGGAAATGGACCATGAGTAGACAATTTAACTACGTATTAATGTCAATTCAACCTTGTCCACTATGCATCACTATCAAATCTGATTCAACAAGAAAAGGTAAAATCATGAGTCAGTAGGTACGATAACTCCTGAAAAACATGCATCTTTATGCCTACAGATCTGAATCATGCCAAATCATCACTATGGCAATTTGGACTCCTTTACCACATACATGTTGAGTTCAAACTGGTTTAGAATAATCTTCCAAAGGATTCCAAACAACTTTATTAAGACCAATGAATATAACAAGGTGGTTAACCAGTCCCCTCACAAGGATAAACCTGATGTTCACTATCCATATCACCCATTTAAATAAAAAACTGTTAAAATTAAGTAATATTGGGCACTCCAACACTAAATGAATCTTACATGTCCTTAATAGTGTATTTGCATAGTCCGTGCGCATGTGCGCATGTTTAGTATTGGAAGAAGGTCCATGGATTTTAAATTTCAAACAATTAATATCAGCATGAAGACATATTCCTGGTCAATAAACAAACCAATCAAGCACCACAAACTCTTTCAAACTTCCTATTCAGTTCTAAGAGATCCTTGAGAAAGCTTCAGATATCTCAAACATTAAGGCTTCAAAATCTGCGTGACAGAGACAAGTTGAATGATAAAACAAATTCATTGGGCCTCCTCAATCCTACTCATGTTATGTGTATGGTTCAAGGATGAGAAAGCTTGCCATATATCACAAGCAATTTCTCAGGGCGCACACCATCATTCTTTCCTTTTATTTTCCTTTTCCTCACAAAAGTACCTCACAAAATTTTGCCAAACAATGATGACAGTTGAAATGGGAAGTATGCAATAGCTATTGCCATACGATTCTCTTTACGCAAGTAGAATGGTCATCACACCATCACACCTCCCCTTCCCAAAAACTGAAAAGTAAAGAGAAAAGAACAACCTAATCCGTTAAAATCACATGTATGGGTGAAATCAAATTTTCAGGCCTACCTCCTTCAGAAAGAGAGAGTCTTCGTAATGAAAATGCTAGCTGAAAACTTCGGACCAGAACCTCACGACTGGAGTTCTGCACAATGTTATGCATCTCATAAGAATAAATGCTCAAAAAGAAAGCATCTTTTTGTGACATGGAAAATATATGATAGTCTTAAATACAGCCACTTGAGAGAATTAAGACAACAAGTAGCATTGTCTAACAGCAGTATGAAAAGAAGTCCTGAGACCTGTAACCCTATGTGACTGGATCCAATGAAAGGAAATGTACAAGAGTTCTAGTGCGGTGATTGTATCTCATAAAGAATTTTGCATGCATCGGTATCAATTAAAATGGCCAAAACATTTTTCTTCCATCGTAAACTGCCATTGGTGGAAAACTGAGATTCATAAATATTCATGTATACAAATTTGTTCACCCGGACGTACATGAAACATATCAGAGTGCTCAAAATGTTTCTTCTATGTCAACAGCAATCAGAAAAAAAAAACAAATAAAGAAGCTGTATCTAATCTTTTCAAATACAGGCAATGTGTTGACCTAGCTAACCATGCAAATAATTTTGTAACTTGGATTTTTCTATGAATGTTAGTGCATATGTGGATGTACTTCGATAGGACTGGAAACAAAATAATATTCATCATTGACAGCAAGCTTAAAAGAAAGAGCTAAAAGGACAACAAATTCAGAAATCTTAAGTCCATTTGTCACATCATGGATCGCCCAGGAATGCAGCGATCAGCACAAGCATGTAATTTAACTAACATAGCATAGTGTGATGTAAGTAAGCCAATCCCTCATGCACTGCTAAAAGCTCTACTAACAGAACTACTCTGTCTAAGGCTAAGTTACATCCCAGTACATAGGTATAGAGCTTACTATAATTACCTTTTTTACAAACTCTCACACTATTTAACAGAAACAAAAGAAAAACTGGCAATTCAACTGTTCACAGTTTCCTCTAAGATTTAAAAACTAATGATTCCACATATATAACATATTTTTATTCAGCACTACTTCCAAACTCTTACCCCAGTCATGTGACGTATACATCACCTACACAAATCACATCATATATACTTGTATATAATATAACCTAAGAAGCATGGACACGGACGCGGGACACGGATACGATACGACACGGACACGCCAACATGACATTTTTAAAAAAAATAAGACACGGACACGTTATAAAAAAATTATATTTTATATATAACTTTATATAATTTATTGCAAATATAGTAATAATGATATATAATTCATAAAAAATTTAATATTTTATGATAAGTAAACGTAATGTCTAGTCATTTGTGTAAATTTTTAAACTAAAACATCCTCATTATAGTCAATAATCATCAATTTTTTTTTGTAGACAATGTGTATCTAATATATAATTTAAATAATTGCTCACATTTTTTCAATTCCTCTTTTTTAAAACTTTTATGAATCTTTTATTTTTATTATTATATTTGAAGTACAACTTTAACGTATTTAGTATTAGTAATTATACGTTCTCAAATTTTTAAGTTTTGTTAACCACATTTCAACATACGTCTATTGGTTAGTGGTACACACGTTCAAAAGAAATGTCAGACACGTACCAATGAAGTGTTCGACACGTGTTCAATATTAAAAATTTATCATTTAATTATAGACATGAATAAAAGAGTATCGGACACGTGTCCGAAGAGTGTCGGTGTACGACACGGATACGTCACCTTCTCAAGAGTGTCCGTACTTCATAGAATATAACTAATTGTACCTCAAGACTCCACCTAATATTCGTAACGACTAGCACCCCGACGTTTAATTTTCTCCAAACACAAAATATATCCAATGTTATACTCATTTGAATTGTTTTTCATGGGAGGAATCCAATCATCCCTCATGCTCCGATAAAATCACAAAGAATCGAACCCCTAATACCCTAATCGGCCGAATGTGCGCTATCCTTAATCCATCTGAAACTTCTGTTTTTACTCAGATTTGTTTACTCATCCTCGCTCAACTTTCACTTTTAACCTTCAACACCACATTTATCTCAAATGCACTCTGAGGCCACGCCCCAAGCACGATTCTCAAAACCTTGCACCCGCAATCTTGATTGTTACACCATTGCACCTGAATTAAGCTCAAAATAAATTTATAGGATTATAAGCAATCAGAGAAATGGAAGAATCACAGCAGAAATGAAACCAACGTATGGTGAAGTCAAGGTCTAAAGTAGACAACACTATCATTACGAAAATAAAATCCTACCAAACAGTATCTGACACATCAAAGAACATCAATATTTGTTAGTGCTGCAAAAAAGGAGTTCAGTATCTCGTACACTGGGAAAAATTCTAACAGGACCTCAGCAATTACCTTGGCTCGTGAGAACAGCAAAACCAGGCTGTATGTGTGAGCAATTGCTTCATAATTTTCAGGCATATTTGCAGGAGAAATGGATTGTGCCCAAATCGATGAAAGCAGAAGGGTAATCTGGTGGCTACTCAACCTAAGAGAAATGGCTTCCTGAGGTAAAAAGAATCAATTATCAATCATATGACTTGATGAAACAAATGAGAGAGACTTGAAGTAAAACTTACGTTACTCATCCAAGTTTGTGGTTGAAGAGCAGAATTATTATTTGATATTACCTAAATTCACCATTAGGGTATGATGGGAACATCAGGTTTAATTTCAGGCTTGGCTTCAGCAAGAAAATAAAAAGAGCCAAAAATCAAGGTTGACCTGATTTTACTGGATTTTAACAATGAGAACAAACCCAGCTTAAATGAAATGGGGCCAAAAAAGAAGGTCAAGCACAGGCCTATTAAATATTGAGGTTTAAGATGGTAGAGACCATGCAGAACCTACCACATCCTTATTTGCATTATTCGTCAAATTTCCATCTTCTGCAGGTGCATTTTTGAAGCTATACACTCGGCTATAAGTTGACTTAATTCTGTTCAGCACCCCATTATTGTTATTTCTCTGTTCCTCCTCACTGGAAAGCTTTTCTTTGTTCTCCTGGTTAAGAATTTCCCTTGACCTTTCATTTCTCAGCTTTTCAAAAAGGGCAGCTGAAGAAGAAAAGACAGAAACAGTTCTTGAAAGAGTTCTCGGAAGGTCTGTAGCCTTCTTCGACCCTGACATAGCTGAGCCTGGCTGAGGACAAATGGAAGATGGCACAAGAACAACAGAAAATATGCGGTGAGCTCCAACTCGTGTTTCATGGTCTGGATGGACCATAGCTGGGAGTAACTGATGAAATAACGCCTCTGGAAATGCCTAAGAAACAAAAAATAGAATATCAGCTCCAAGAGTAACTGTAAGATAAAGACACAACCGGAGAAAGTAATATAGATTCCAAAAACACATGTTTTGCCCTCGCCTTGTTCTGGTTTGACAGATTTGGCATAGAAGCTATAATTTGAGCAGTACGATAAACAGAGGAAATAGTAGTTCTGGCTATGACTGTAATGCTTGAGATATTCTCCAACATCACAGCCATAACATCCAGGATAGGGCCAGCATCTCCAACCTGTTCATCAATCAAAAGAAAGCAATATTAGTTCCAATTGGGTGACAAAATTCAGTTAAAAATTCAACATACTTAAAGCCATTCAATTACTTGAAACTGAAAGACGACATATAACCAAAAAGCTTGAATCAAAAACATATCTGCCTCAGACTTTTGATAAGTAATAGCTATAACACTGCTGCTGCATGTTACTTGAAATTGAAAGACAATGTATAACCAAAAAGCTTGTCTCAAGCTTTTGATAAGTAATAGCTATAACACAGCAGCCGGATGTTAACTCAGAAAAGGGACATATATGCCACCTTATATGATAATTCCACCAGGCATTCATCCACTGCATCCCGAAATTTTCCATTCCATTTGATTAAGTCAGCTCCCAGATTTTCATCGTCAAGTGAATAATGTATGCTTTTCCGCAGATGTCTCATAACATCACTGACTGCACTGATAATAGCGACAGAAGGCTGGACCTTTGTGTGTCGAGCAAGGGAGGTAGTAACCTGAACAATGTCAATCTGCATATCTGGTTTCTTAAGGACATTTTTATGATCAAGATGCTTGACTAATATTGACAGCAGCAGGTGTGTATTTTGCCCTGTAGAATCACATTGAGAAAGGACTATCATCTGTTTATCATTGTAGAAAAGTTGCAACAGTAAGGAAGCAGGATGGAATGGTGAGCACAAAAGGATTGAAGAACTCAAGAATGGCATAATAATGGAAAATGTAGCATTAGTACCCAAATCATCCATTAAAAACTGCATATCCTTCAGGACAGGAAAAGCTAGCCCAAGTTCAGCAGGCCATAAATTTCCATTATCAAAATAGCGGAACAAAGATTCCAAAACACGCCGCATTGTAGTAGCCTCCTTGCCCAGCTTGGCCATATTATGCAGGCAGACCTTAGACCAAAAGCCAGGGTTCATTGCATCCTCCCTAAGCAAAGAAAATTATAATACAATTTGAGAATATGATCAGAGGCAGAAGAAAGTCTGAATGCATTCAGAAGTTCAGTTTCCAAGAATTTACTCTGTCACATTTACTTCGCCCTTTTCATTCACAATTGTCCTCCAAGAGGGAACCTTCATCGTGAACTCTGGAGCAGGAGAGACATGACCCTCAACTTTAAGCACTTCTTGCACCCATCTGCTCTGGTTGGGGTTGTTGGACTCTTTAGATGGACTGCCATAATTTTCTAATACGACTGAAACAATCTGTTGAATAAACAAGTAAGTCTTAAGAGGCTTTAACTGAAGTTGGCTTGTATATAGCAATCACATTGACCAGTTTCCATCATACAACCTTATGAATAATATTAGCATGAGCATAATTGAACCAAAAATACAACAATCAATGATATTTCCATATCTATACAAGATTCATTTATAACAACAGGCCACTGGTTTGGGGGTTAAAATTCGGTCTACTGACCTGGAGGTTATGAGTTCGAACCTGAGGACAACCACCACAAATATAATGCTAAGGGTTATGTCTGTACTCAGTCTATCACTCATAAACACCATTAGCAAGAACTAAACTGGTGCTGATCTTAAACAAGGCTGCTGGTCGAGATTGGGCTTAATAACTTGAATTTGTGGTTTCAAATCTGGGGGTAGCTACATTGTCAATGTCAAATTTCCAGAACCCATTAATTGGTGACTAAAGTAGGTGTTACTTTTGTAGAAGATTCCGGATAATTTATATTGAACAGAAAACTGTGGAGACTTCATGCATTATTAACAGCAGATTGGTGGGCCAAAAACCTACGGATATTGAATTTTGTTTAGAAAATAAAGAACCGGTGCCGTGTTGAAGTCAATCAAGCTTTGCTGGAACTATCGAGAATATTCATTTATAGTCATGGCGAAAAAAACTGAAAACAATGAATGCCAAACATTTAAAAAGGATCACAAGCTACTTCTTATACATGTTTTAGGTTAGTTGAAAGCCTTGTAGCCTACCTACTGTTTACAATCTAATGTCATACTATAAGAGCCGAGAAGTAGTGCTAAGTATTAATATTTTAATAATCCAGGTGTTGACCCGCTTTGAATTTCTTTTTCCATGCCCAGGTGTTTCAGATTCAAGTTTCTTAAGATGCCAAATCATTGTCATGGTACATTTCAGGTTTTGCGTTGCCCCTCAATGGCCAAAATGCTACCTATATGGGCCTGTTTCAATCATTAAGGCATTTGTTAGACCTGTTTGGTGTTATTCCAGCCCAGAGTATGGTAACGATATTCAATGCAAGGAAGGCCCGTTTTCATTGACTATAGAGGTGTGTATTTTCCGAGTATTTTCTCAAAAGCAATTAAAGAAGCAAACTTTTTAGCAAAGCAAGGTGAAGGGGTGTTGGAACACAACTTTTATAGATAGCAAAATTAAATTCAAGTAACTGCCATTTGTGCATGTGAATTCACAGAATCATGTGTCCTCCATCAAATTGGACTAACTATAGTTTTAAGCACATATTTCTTTTGATATAGCATTGTAGGGCTCACTAACGACCATTATAACAGAAAACCCATCCTCATAATTTTAATAAAAGCCAATTTTAACTCTATCTAGAAAAGAAATATATGTTAGCCACATGCAAGCAGTACAGAAGCAATACTAAGCTTTAGAATGCTAGAGCATTAAAAGATAATCTACAACATTGAGAAACTAGCAGATTGAAAATAGAAATCGATATTGTACCAAGGAACAAACTCATTTTGAAAAATAAATTTACATAAGTTGGCATCTGCTTACATTATCAAATNAGGATGACAATGCCAAATGCAGCAGAGCATCGCAAAGAAGTAAGGTATAACATCATAGTATCTGACAAAAACAAGATGTCCCAAGGACACTGATAGTATGCAATGAGTGATAATGGAAATAATTGACAACCACGTGATCATATTGTCGGGATTTAACACGCTTTAAACTCACAGACAAACACACATAATCGAAGAATAAACCAAGAACGTAAAACAATAAGAAACAAGAAAAAACAAGACACAAAGATTTTACGTGATTTGACAATTTGTCTACATCCACGAAGTTACAAGGATTTCATTATTGACAGAGCGGAATACAGAGAACGACTTTCAGTTCCAATCAAACCCTAAACACCAAAGTAGCGGTTTTTATATGTCCTTCGCTCCATGGACCAAGCCTCAAATTTTTTTTTATTAAAAATCAAGCAACATTATTTTAGGTCAGGTCATTATCTGAATCACACTCATAAACTAGACTCTATAAAAATCCAACACATATTGCTCTATATGGGCTTCTAGCTGGAAAAACAACACAGCAATGGGATACATATTTCCCAAACTGTGCCATCCACAAAGGCTGTGGTTCTTCTGCCCAAGCCATGTCATCAACACATGCTTCAACACATGTGTACTTAGCTGACTGAGGACACATTGCTTGCTTTGTAACCAATACTTACCTCTAAGGCTTGTACACATAATCATATAACTGATGTAACTCTCTCAATTCATAGATCCACATGGCAGTCCAACTTTATTGTAAGACTTAGGGTTGAAGGTGACAATTTAATCGTGTCGTGTTGAATTCATGTTGGGTCATTATGAATTCGTGTCAAACATTAATCAATCTTAATTTAACCTATTTAACTAATTATGTAGTGTCGAGTTGATTTATTTATTTTCGTATCGTGTTCGTGTTCGTATTTGTATTGACCCACGTAAACTTTGAATAAAAAATTTAACGTTAATATTATATTTTCACTTAATTAAATTTATGCTCATACTTTTTTTACAAACTAAAAATTAACTTGATAAAAATAATACTAATTATATTGAGTAAAAATATCTTTTTTTATACAATAATTATGTCAGTACTTAATAAATAGTTACAAATAAATAATATTTTATTTATATAATATTAATTAAACATGTTAATTTTGTATTAACATGCAAATAAAAAAATAGAGAAAGTGCCCATTCTTAAATAAAACGAATTGATCGTGTCAATTAATAGTCGAAGCAAATTATCCAGCAAAACAAACTAAGTAACCACACAACTGAGAGAATTAAGCAAATTCAGTAACTACACAATTAATAAATTAAGCAAAGCAACAAATTAATTAAGCATATTTGACTCCNAAATAGAGAAAGTGCCCATTCTTAAATAAAACGAATTGATTGTGTCAATTAATAGTCGAAGCAAATTATCCAGCAAAACAAACTAAGTAACCACACAGTTAACGAAAATCAAAAGGAAAAATAATTCCTCAGAATATATCCAAGAAATTCCAGCCGAAATGGAGAATCAAAATCCTAAAGGAAAGACAAACAGTTAGAGAGAAAGAGAGATGATAGACTCAACTCACCGCGATGGACTTGCACAGAGACAGAGAGTAGTCAGTGTCTCGGAGCTGTGAATGATCTTTTGGTTTATTCCATGCGCAATAGCTAGGATCATACGTGGCGTTTTGGGCTGCTTAATGCCCAGGCATCCACCTCTTTTNCAAAAAACCTATGTTAACAAGAATAAGATAATCTGACTAGTTCTAATGATATGAATTATAAATGATGGAGAAATAATAACTTGAGAAGAAAAGGGATAAACTTTGAGAAACAGAACAAAATGAAGCATGAAGTGTTCATCATGAATTCATGATAAGTTGCAAAAGAAAGCTGGAGGATGCTAACTTTATATGTAGAAAGCACAAAATTTAACATTTGTGTGAGCACTATGCATTTCTATCTTCACAATGAACATAAACATCCGCACTGATGTAGGAGAATAAAAAGAACCCTAATTGCCCTTATTCTCTGAAAGAACTTACTTGGCTAGTTGGATCAAGTTACGGAATTTTGGGAAATAAAGAAGAAAGGTATCATAGACGTATACATTATCCAGTGTGCAGCAGGAAAGCACAGATAATAGATGCTTCTCTTTGTTGGGAATGCTCCACTCCAGCACTTCCACATCGTCAAATCAATTGCAATAGGATTCGTAGACACAAAAATACAACAAACTAACTGATGCAGAGAGGAAAGACAAAGAAACCAGAGAATAGAAAATGACGAGAAGAAAAGGAGGTTTACCTCATCCTCGCAAGGATTCGATCAAGAAACACAAATATCCGCAGAGAAACAAATCAATTCATATTCATCAATCTAATTCAAATAATTGGAATTACACCATTATTCATAGGACAAGTGTCTTACCCAAATAAAAAGTACTCTCCAGTTAAAACTCTCTAAATCTCCTTGTGAGATGATTATTAGCTAACCAAATAATCTAATAATAAATTAAATCTAATCTTCAATTTTATGTCTATCCAATACGTTTACGATCCCTATCACTAACTGATTTCGATAAATATAGAGCTCTTCCCTCTTGTTTCTGAAATTACCCAGCACAGTAAGTCATCAAGGGCACAGAGACAGCATCAATTGAATAACCCTGATTTTTCTACCAGTGACTTATCTGGATAGATGCTAGAATCAATAATAGTACATGACGAAATTCCCTCATCCCATATGTAGATTGGTGACCTTGCTTTGACTTGCAACCAATCCTACCACTCATCTTTGACCGGGTAACCAATTGTAGCATTTTGCCCCAAGTCTAGTGTGAATCGGTCAATGAAGTAGTTAATAGTGTCTATTCTCACCAGTCACCACAATACTAGCACGCAAGATGTTCATCTCACCAGTTGAAGTATCTTTACCCATGTCTGCATCACCATTTGATGGAAGACAATGGAAGTCTCTGCCCCACCACAATTGCACCAGCGGATGACCCACCTATTTGCGATAGAAGTACTATGTACAAATGCTGATTATTACGGCATTAATAACTGAAGCCGTCACATATTAAGGCTCTTGCTGAAGATCGTGGGATCTGGGTTCCTATCCTTTCCTTCTTCATTTTGTTCATATTTTCTGGCCTATGTACAAATCTCCCTAAGAGTTCCCTATTTCCTACTGTGAAAAGGATCTTTGACTGGAGGATGGGACTTCTGATGATAAATAGGCATTGAATAAGAGATTTCAGTGCCCTATAACACAAACTATGTCAAATTCGGACAAAAGAAGTGCCCATTTTGTCGATGGCTTTGACGTGATGTACTTAACATGATCAGATTCTAAGATAAGATGGACAACATGAGTTAGCATGTAGTGTCTCAGTTTTTTTTTTTTTTGCAGCGAAAGCTAGTGCAAGGCACATCTTTCAATAGATGAATTGTTCAACTCTACACCTACTAATGTCCAGTATAATGCATTGTCCTTTACTTCGTCATTGACTTCTGCCAAGAGCACTCCCAATGTTGCTCTTGAGCAACAATATAAAGGATCAATGGTTTTCCTTAGATTGCTACAATGAAAACTGGGGTATGAAGGAGATCCCATTTTACGTTTTCGAAAGCATTCTTGCAAGCATCATTCCATTCACAAGAAGCATCTTTCTTCACTAGTTTGTTAAACATATTATTTTGTCGAGCGAGGTTTTTGACATAAATCTTCTAATAGATACGAGTCTTCATCGAGACGTTTTTACTTTTATTACAGGGTTTGGTTATATCAATAGATACTTTTACTCCTTAAACATTGGTTCAAGGTCATAGTATTGATAAAAAAAAAAAAGCGGCTTAGTGCACGAGGCTACCGTCATTGTGGAGCATGGGGAAGGTCAAATGTATGTTGTCATACCTCAAATGTACGTTGTCGTAACAAAAGAATATATACATAGTATCATAAAATTTTGTACATGTTAAATAAGGCAATTGCATTTTATGCAAGTATGCAACACAGATTATCAAGAACTCTCCGAAATCTTCGAGGGATGAGCTGAACAAATTTGGTCATTGTTTAGAGAAAAATTTCTAATTCACATGTTTAGGGTTTTAATGGCATGTGAGCTTTTCAGTAAATTATTGCACAAATAACAAAATTTGGCAGCAAAAGCTTCCGTTCCATCTTAGGACAAGGGCAACTAGGAACAAATCATAGTATGAAACTCAGACACAAACAAGGAATACGAACTCGACTCGACACTAACAAGTTAGCACAGTAAACCCTAAAAAGTAAGACATGAATTTGTTTAGGACACACTACCCCTAATTATGTCCTTTAAATATTTATAGAGTTTTAAAAGAAAACTTAATTGAAGACCCCCTCGAACTATGGTTTCGAAACTATAGTTTAAAATTACGAGACCCAACATAGTGACTAGGGTCAAGCCCATGATTTATACGAGACAAGATATAGATGAATTCGCTATTCACATACATGAATTATTTGATAAAAAGACTATTGGGGAACAACAAGTTCTTATGCAAGCCCAACATTCATGGTAAGAAACTACAGTGCAATTAAACAAGAGAATGCAAGGGTGGTCATTAATTACAAAAGATCGGATGAACATTTGGATTTTGATGGGTATTTTATTCCCCAAAAATCTGTATTAGTCAATCAATGAGCACAAATTTTCAATAAATTTGACTCCTCTTCTTTCATACAACATTTGTCTGCATTTTGCGGTTTTCGATATTGTTTTAAACAAAATTTTATTAAATTTTTCCATGGTATAAGATAGGTCTCTGTCAAATTTTTAAATTTTGACACGTTGGCAAGTGTCCAACAAGTGTCAAACACATGTTTATCCAATAATGCCAATGACAACGATAATATAACACCAACATCATCAATTTTCCTACACACTATCATTTGCCTAACAAGCTTATTCTTCCTGCAATAGCAGTGTTTTGAAGTGAAAAGTAAACATATGCAGATCAAATGATTAAACTACTTGGTCCTCTTTATAACATAAAATTCTTGAATACTGCCGTGTATCATGATAACTGGATAAATCATCTTCCCCCACCACTGCCAAGTATTTTGCTTGCTATGACAAGATCCATATATCATCTATTGATGCCAAAATCCCATGATATGCATAAGTAAGTTTTAGGCTTAAAAATAAAAGGTTGACAATGTTAACAGGGTGTACCAGTGCAGAAAGTGCTTGCAGCCCAACTGAACGTAGATGCTTTGTCCTTTCATCTTCTCCCGCTTCTTGAGATAACTGACAGAGTTTTGGAATAAATCCTTCTAAGTTAAACATGTAAGTTCCATCTTTCTACAAAATGAAGAACAATCAAATTAGTTTGACATTTTCTGGTTAATGATAAAATAATGACACTTCAGAACAAGGGAGACTCAACAACACCAACCTGATTGTTGACGAAGTCAAAAAGAGACTGGCATCCTATAATAAGCATTTCATCCTGGCGTGTTTGATCCAGTAGAGTTTGCATGACACTTAGTAAACTATTTGCAAATAGAGGCCTGACATAAAAACCCAGATTAGAGTTCGGATATTCAAATCAGTCAAAAAAAGATAACACGTGCTAAAAAGATATTACTAATAATTATGGCCTGCTTTTGCCTGTTGCATGACATCTAGATAGTAAATTAGAAATGAATGGCAATAAGGGACATTTGCAAGAAAATAACTTCTTAACAACTGATCCTTGATATGTGAATCACAAAATCAACCAACAATTGTAAGTAGCTGAACTCATAAAAATGAGCAAAAAATAAGCACAATGTGATAAATAATCAAGCTTGATACTTAAAAGTGTCCTGTCTTATACTTCCTATGAATAATACAAGAGCTTTACAAATGTCAGTCAACTATGCACATGAAAAACATAAATCCTCTGTTATTTTCTGCTAAGCCTTCCTTGTGCTGTTCTAATCATGTTTTTACAAACCAAAATAACCTTCAACATGAGAATAATAAAATCAAACGTCCACCAAGCTTTCCCTCTCAAACTAGAAAAATTTTGGCTTTCAAAAACAAAGGTTGGGCGACATGGGAACAAGTTTTAGTAAAGAAAGATCCCTCCTTCAAATATTGTTCAAATTAGCTTAAAATTCTAGTTATCCTACAACCAGCAATAAGGAAAAAAAATTGTGTTCCAACCCAACTTACTAACTTGGAAACAGGAGAAATAACTGATAAAAACATAATCATAAAACACAAGGGAGGGTAAGAAATTCCCTGAAGCAGAGAAAGATTAACTTTCTAGTCGGATTTTCAAAAAGAGCATGGGAAAATGATATAATAAATTAATTTGGAAAAAACTCCAAATCCCAATAGAAAAGACTCCCCAAAGGACCTAGATCTATGAAGTTTCAAGGACCAACAGTCATACTATTTTAGTTAAGCATTACAAAACCAACAGATTCAGAAGCAAGGGTCACCAAGTATTCTTCACAGCTAACTACTCTAATAGCTCAACTTGTTGGAGATCCGTGTGAGCATATATTTCAACACTCCTCATGTTTAACATCTCATGAATTCAAGGACGCAACGTCTAGTCCACGGATGAAAATATCATTTCTTTTGCACTGAAAGAATTGTATCGTTTCTGTTTCCGTGGACACTGAAAGGAATCAATGATTGAACATCAAAATTCCAATGTTTTAAGTTGTGTTGGTATGTTTCGACCAATGTTTTGGAAATAAATTTGTTCTATATCTTTATTTGGTTCCCCAAAATATTTCTGAAACATATCCAACCTAACCGAAACTATGTACCTGAATGTTCCAATCTAGGACCTTCACCTCTGATACCATTTCACAATATTAGTTATGGAAGACAAGAAGATAAAAAGAGGGAAAAGGCTGATTAGATGAGAAATTAGGGCTACATCACAATGACCAACCTACTAATTTGTAATATAGTGTTTTCTTCACAGAGAAAAAAAAAACAACAGTAAAATCAGGCATAAAAGAGTAAGACAATACTTTCTACACTTTTCAAAGAGGAAATCATAAGTTTTTTGTTATTGGTGCATCATGCATGAGAGAAAAATCTGCTTTAAAGTTTCAAAAACAATCGGTTACAAGTACAAAGAGGTGGGGTTGAAATTATCACCACGAACTTTATCAATTTGAAGTTTAAAATCAAACACTGAAGTTCTACCTTGTAAACAACTTCAATAGTTAATAAGCAGACCATCTCTTTATGCAAGTTATGCTACTTTCAGTAATTTGCTCTCACATTTTTTGGTGGTTTACTTTAGATGATAGTGGATCTTCCTTGTGACCCTAAAGTCACAGCTTGGTTATGATTTTCTGAGAGACACTAAATGTCAAAGTTTAAAGTGCTGAACTTTCTTGAGCAGCCAAGATATTCCACAGCAAACTTTAACTGAATTCCTCTGTTTGGCTCGAATCCTCAATCTGATCTTTAAACCTACACTGGTCGTTGATGTGATCAGAGAAGTGTTTTTTTCATTTTCATTTTCATCATTCACTGGATGGCCCAGTTGAGGATCGTCCATGACCAATACCAATGGACAAGCAGCAGTTCCAATTTCTTCCAGGGAGTGAGGGGCTCCTTGCCCATGCATCAAGTTTTTCTTTTCATGTAAATCTCACCACTTTACAAAAAGATAATATTTTGAACTTCTGACAATTGTACACACTTTACTTAAGTAACAATCTATTCGCCTTGAAAGAGGTAAACAAACAAATCAACATCTGATGAATGGCTGGGCATCATCTAAGAAAACAACTGAAAAAAATAATATAGAAGAAAAACCAAGCAACATTCGGACACCTTATACTGAAATATACTGAAAATTGGCTTCTCTAGGAGGCTATAACCACCTTCACATCACCAAAAAGCATTATATCTCTGGACAAAATGAAATCTTAAAATTTAACTACAAGGAAACCAAGAATACACGAAACAAGGACATTCTCTGATAAAGTAGCTGATTTTGCCAGATTCTAAAATGACTAAATTGATACGTAAGTATGTTGCGTTAAGCAGTCCAAGTCATTATACTATCAAAATTCCAGTTCAATAATGGTTACAGGTAAATTACACTTTACCTCCTTGTGGTTTGAGAGAGACTTTGAATCCAAAATACCTCACTCCATTGGAAAACAGGATAACTATTTAGTATTAAAAGGCAATAACACCCTTCATCTTTTCAAACTTTCCTCCCTTAAGAAATTTTTTACAATTGAAAAATACGCTTAATATAGAGGGAGAAGGGAAAGACAAGTATAGGTTTGTTTTGGACAGAGATACAAGAAGACATGTACAATGTATATGGGTATCAAGTCATTTTGCCATGTTATTTTATGGAAATTTTCTAATTTTAATTTTTGATCATTAATTCAATTGAAAAATCAGCAATTTTAATGGTGGCACTTAAGTCTAAAACCACAAGGGGGCAAAGTGTAACTTTTCAACCCAAAATGGTGGTGAAGCGGTACGACCCAAACTATCACAAGGTAAAGCGTAACTTACTCAATTTTCTTATATTGAACAAGAAGGTTTCCATTCTACCAAAAAATGATGCTTTCCACAAATAGCACTACACGTGAAATACAAATCAAATTACAAAGAATGGGACTAATGAAAATATACTCACAATTGCTCCTTGCAAGAAATTAACAACTTTTTGTAGATACACATGACAATTTTAGCAGATCGGAAGTTCTCAGTTCTCAATTCCTTGTAGCACCTTTGTTCAAGTGAGCTCGTGATCTGGTCATCACAGGCCAAGCTATGGTTAATAAGGCAAGCTATTAGACAGAATGATAATTTTGCTCAACAGCTTTTTCTTAAAGTGGAAACTAATTGGAAATCTGCTCAGTATTAAACCAATAATCATTACATTGGAAGATTTTAGTCATTGACTAAAAACATCCAAAAAACACTTTGAATATATGCAAAGCAACAATCTAACATATCTGCCAAGTTAATTGGAAGATATTTGTTGCTGTAGAAAGTGCAGTAGTAAGAAAAAGCAACTTGCAATCTGTCCTGCATTTGTGCAATGAGAAGAGTCTAGAGTCCACATTGTTACAACAGAGGAGATGTGATAGAATAATTCAGGGACTCTGACATTAGATCCATCTAAAAGGTAGAGAAGAAATATCAAGAAACAAAATAAATGTCTTTTGAACTAGATCTAGACTGAATGCAGAACAATGATGTGTGCTAGACAAATGACAAAATTAGTTAAAATCTTCCTGAGTATACTTTTAGAAACTCAGTCTACAGGTACATGGTTAGGCACTTTTAAGGCGTGACAAAAATACCCTTAATGAAAGAGGTTATTTAAAAATTCTACCATATCCCCCACCCCTCTGACAGTGAACTAAAATTTCAATGTGTTTTTCTATATATTGTGGATGGAAGTTTACTGTTATATAAGAGCTGAAGTTTTTAATTCTTTGTCGGGTACCGTTGGGTGTGTGTAGTTCATGATTAATTAATGATATAATTGGTAAAAAAAATATAATAATATAATCTTTCTACTACCACGATTAATTAAAGTGACACTAATATAATGATATAATCAGTAATTTTAATTGAAAAAAATAGGAGTGTTCAAATTTCCGACCGACCGACCGCAAGTTCTTACCCAACCCAACCCTACTCTACCCTACTGAACGGCTAGCCGCAAAAATCGGTAGGAATGCGGAAGAGTTTTTGGTCTTCCGACAATTTTTGGGTAGGAATGCGGAATAGTCATCCATTTCCGCATTCCTACCCTACCCTACCCTACCCGCAATAATTTTTTAAGATATATATATATATATATATATAGACTAAAAAAACCCTAAATCCTAACCACAGGCGGAGCAATTATGACTTTAATGTATTTCATATGATTTAAAGTTTAAACTTAAATTAATTGTTATTGTATTTGTGTAACAATTATGGTGGATTGATGTTCATACTTTCTTGTATTTTATTATAATTCTTGATATAGTTGTTTTAGATTTTAGTGTTAATTGATTTATTGTGTTGTTAAATTGGTGCATGTTATTTAATTAAATTGTTAAAATGATCCAAAAATTAATTGTTACAAAAATGTTTACCCGATTTCCTACCCAATTAATTGGGGTAGAAATACCACACCTGTCGGGTAGGGTAGGCCAAGAAAAAACTCTTCCGCAAAGTATCGGGTAGAAAGACGGAAGAACATATTTCCTATCCATAGGGTAGGGTGAACACCCCTAGAAACAAATCTTCATCGTACCACTTATGAAACCAAAAAAGAATATTCTTCGAAGCTTCAGAATGAAGAAAAATGTTAAAATAGAAAGTATTTTTTTTTCAAAAGATTTATGAATAGGATCATATTATGTAATAAAAAATAATGAGATTTGTAATGATTGAAGAAAAGAGAAAAAAATAAATTTCTTGTTTTTTATGAATCTCATGTCAAGCCTTACCGAATCTCAAGTAGAAATACTGTAAAACCCGATAAAAAAAAAATATTATTATTATTATTAAAATCCTAATAAAAAGGGTAAAATAATAATTAATTGTTAAATTATGGGTCAAAAACATAAATTTTAAAAAAAAATAATCTATATATATATATANCCCGATAAAAAAAAATATTATTATTATTATTAAAATCCTAATAAAAAGGGTAAAATAATAATTAATTGTTAAATTATGGGTCAAAAACATAAATTTTAAAAAAAAAATAATCTATATATATATATATATATATAAGTGGAAGAACTTTTTGTGGTTTCTACAGCCGGCGACAGAGAGGGAGTGAAAAAAAAAATGAGTTTTTTTTTCTCTTTTCTTCCTTCTCAGATCTAGGAAAATTTAACCGTTTAATCGCTTCGGGCCAAGAACTAAAGTTGCTCTACTCAGCGAGAGCTACGCAACCACACCAAATATCGTATTTTTCTTCGAAGGTATATCAAAGCCGATAATCTAGACCTAACACTTAGGAAGCTAAATTTGGGCTTCCTTGGCGTTCTAGTAAGTGGTCTCACGCTACGAGAGGTAGGGTTTCCCCTATTTAGATTTAATTTCAACTTAAAATATGACATATGGAATGAGTAGATTATGAGTGTATATCACATGTTAGGTCTTGACTAGTGGGTCAAATATAGAATTTATAATTAATCTTGTGATTAATAAAATTCTATTGTGATTAACTTGGTATAAGTTAATGTTAGTAGTTTAAAGCATGTTAATTGTATGTTAGCATTACTTTATATTTTAATGGAAGATCAAGTTTAATAAAATTATTAACTTGTTATATGATTGTGAAATAATATATATATGTTAAATGATTATTTAACATATGATTATTTTGGTGGACTTTGTGCTTATGTTAAACATGTTATCATGTTGCAAGTCATAGCATGCTAGTTGTGTAAATTGATGTGCTCTTTAGGTGTTTGATTAAATGCCTAGGTGAATACAAGTATGTTAGTTGAGTTGATTATCTTACATAACATGCTTGAGATCGTGTTAAAATGTCATTACATTGTATTTCATTATGCATGGGTTGCACTACATTCATGGGCATTGACATGGGTGAGAGTGTATGCATGGTATGAAATCAATCACCACGTAGGTGGTTGAACGTGGACTCGGAAAAGTCGCACCAAGGTTCGGTTGAGTCGCACGAGAAATTAAATGGATAAATGTGTTGGGGACAGCACGAAGGGCTAGATTCTCCCTCGGGTGCAAGACCCGCTTACTTGGTTTATACACTTTCCGGCGGTGAAATTCCAAAAAAGTGTAACGGCGGAAACGGAGCCGCAGGTGGGATGTCCTGAAGATCCGTTGATGGTTGGTGTCCCATTGGTGTAATACCATAAATCATCTCCCCACAAAGACACAAGAAAATGAATTAATTAGCATTGAGTGTACATAACACCAATGATGGGGGCTTGGAATGCTCGGATACATACGCATGACATTGCATGTGTTATGGGAGCTCAGGATGGGGCTCGGGGTTGGTATTGCTTGCGTGAGTCTCATCTCATGGCATGACATGATCTATAACATTCAATCATAATAGACATATTTAAATGAATGTATCAAATGATTGTTGCATGTGACATTCCATATTCATTTAGGTTGAGAGGTATTCTCTATAGGAGTTACCCTATTGAGCGTTAGCTCACCCTTTATGGGAACATTTTTCAGGTATCGCACAGGCTTCCACCGAAGGCGAGGCCATGGGCCCGCTTTGACGACAGAGCCGGTCTGTGGCTTTTATTTTGACATTGTAGTCTCTTGTTTATACTTACTTTTGGCCTTGTATAATTTTTGTAACAAACATTGTTTATATTTACAAAGGCATGTATATGGGACTCTTTTGGGACATTTATTCTTTTACGAATAAATGTATGTACTGATAATGATTATGGTAGTATTCGAGACTATATAATTGTGAATGGATAGATAGACCCGGTGTGGTCAATGTTGTACAGGTTGCGTTTTGAGTAGAGCTCCTTGTACAAAGGAGACTCTGTCCAAATTTTGTTAAGTTATGGATCCCAAGAAATGGGGCATAACGGTGTGGTATCAAATTACACGATATCCACCAGTATTACACA